AAATAGCCTGGATCAGATGACCTTCAGGACATATGGCAAGGCCTATCTAGGTGCATGGGTTGCCGCAGAGGTGGATTTTTGAGGGGAATCAGCAAGGAATTGTATGCTCAATGACTATTAAATTTAATTGTATTTGTTTGGCAGAGGTGCCTGAAATGTTGGATAGACACCCCCTTTTTATTTTTGTATAAATCTAAACAAATAGGTAAATAAAAACCTTTGACCCAGTAGCTCATGAATGCCCACTCAGGTAACCATGGTTTATAGAGACCCTGCAACAGGTGAAGCCATAGGGTGTTTGGCTGGTATGCCAGTGGAGGAAGTCAAGAAATGTGTCTCCATCAGATCTGCTAAAGCAGGATGACAGCTTGGTATACCTGCACAGCTGCCAATCATCTACTGTCAAGCTTCTCTCGTAGTGAAGAATATGAAGTTACTTTGTGGCTTTAAATCACTCACTTGGCCTTGAACTGTCTGCTTCCACAGACAGAGAACAATGGTTTGAGGGGTCAATGCTTGTTCATCTCTTAGTGTCGGCCAGTCTCATCCACTGAGGCTCTGGAGGGGCTGGATTCTCTTCTCCACGCCCCTGATCCCACAGTCTGTGAGTTGGATCCATGCCCATCCTGACTGGTGAAGGGAGCACCAGGGCAAGTCCTGGGTCCGTTGCTGGTGGAGATGATCCGAGTCTGCCCATGGGTAGCAGGATGCCTGATTGAAAAAGCTATCATGCAGCCCCTGGTTAATAAAGCACCACTTGACACTGACAGTCTCAACAGCTCACAACCCATCCAGGAGATGGTGTGGGAAGTTCAACTCGCCTCAGATTTCCTACATTCTGGTTAGTCAGGTGTTTGAGCAGGAACTGCACTGGTTGCACAGGGTGAGGATTTTCTCCTAGCAACGAACAAGAAAGAAGTGTCCATGCTCACTTTAATCACATTCTGACACCACGAGCCACAAGGTTTGATTGGGTCATCTAAAGACATAGGATGCTGCTGAGTGTTCAGATCCCTCTGGGCGGTTGGAAAGAATGGTCTGGGACAATTGCTCTTCTGCCCAGAGGACTCTCACGTGGGGCTCTGCAGGCAGTGGTGTAGCCAGGGAACAAGGGGAGCAATTAAAAAAAAAGGCGCCACTCGCTGTGGTGCTTTTACTCACCCGGCAGCGCTCCGGGTCTTCGGCGGCGGGCCCTTCGCTCGCTCCGTGGGTCTTCGGTGGCACTGAACAACCTGCTGCCGAAATGCTGCCGAAGACCCGCGGCGCGAGTGAAGGTCCCGCTGCCGAAGTGCCGCCGAAGACCCGGCGCGCCGCCTGGTAAGTAAAATAAAAGCGCTGCAGCGGGTGGCGCCTTTTTTTTTTTAATCGCTCCCCCGGGTGAGTACAAAGGCGCCAAGAAATTGACAAGGCGCCACTTGTGCTCAGTCGGGGAGCGGCCGCTGCCCCGCTCCCCCCAGCTACGCTACTGTCTGCAGGGCTGATTTCATGTCTCTTGTGGAATGTGTACGAGAGGGTATTAGGAGAGTTACTGAGGAAACATGTCGCACATGTAGGAATCCAGTTTGCTGATGATGCTCAGCTCTAAGCTTCCATCCTTTCCAACACAACTGGGGCAGTGGAACGAATAACTTGTCTTTATGAACTAAGGAAATGGATGAGGGTGAACACGCATGTAAGCAAACATCTACAGTACAGACCCATTTACGCGCGAATCCACTTAAAGTGAGGTAGCGCCATGCCTCCCAGTGCTACCTATTTAACACGCGAGACTCGTTAACATGCGGTACAGGAACTTGCTATGTAGCGCCAAAGATTTGCTCACTAACTCACTGACACAGAAATCGACAGGAAGCGCGGAGCGGAAATGTGTTGTACGTCTTTACCGATATTGGTAAAGATGTATCACGCATGCTTAGTCATTGTCACGCTAGAGAGAGATAATATATACAGTAGTACTGTAGTTATATAGTAATACAATATATATACTACATTAGAAAATTTTAACTGTAGGCCTCATATAATGGCAGAGGGCAAGTGTCAGCGTTCCTACACTGTAGAAGAAAAGCTAGCTGCAATAGATCAAGTAAACGGCAGAGAAAGCCAGGCCAAAGTTTCAAAAGATATTGGGATTGACGAATCTACTCTCCGAGGATGGCTAAAAACTGAATCTAAACTGAATGGCTTTGTACAAAATATTGATTCTGCCACGGGGCTTAAGCGAAAATGTGTGCGCTATTCAGCAAAACCCACAATAGACAAAGCCATGCGCATGTGGTTTGCTCAGGAAAGGCTGAAAGGAATGCCACTAAGTGGGCCAATTCTTCAAGCCCAAGCCACAAAATTTGGAAATTTAACCGGGGATGAATCATTCCAAGCCAGCAAGGGGTTTATGAGTCATTTTAAAAAGCGTCATGGCATAGCGCAGGTATCGATTTCTGGAGAAAGCCGATCAGCCGATGAATTGTCCGCGAACGCGTTTCCCGCCGAGTTAAAATCTATTTTACAAAATGAGGACTACCACGAAGAACAATTTTATAACTGTGATGAAACAGCTTTATTTACAAAACTGCTACCTGATAAGACTTTAGCCTTTAATTACGAGACACAGAAAACAGCTGGATTTAAAAAGAAAAGATCGTGTGACTCTTCTTTTTTGTAGTAATAAGACGGGCAGCCACAAGCTTATCCCTCTTCTCATTGGCCACTTTCATAACCCTTGCTGCTTTAACCACCTCAATAGAGTCAAACTGCCAGTAATATACGCTAACAGCAAAAATGCTTGGATGACGAGACACATTTTTGACGACTGGTTTCACAACAGCTTTGTTCCAGCTGTTCGTAAGCATCTGCGGTCGAAGAAACTCGAAGCCAAAGCACTTTTGCTACTTGACAATTGTCCAGCCCATCCTCCAGCCAAATCACTGGTATCGAGAGATGGAAAAATTCGAGTGCTATACCTATACCTACCATTCAACACAACATCAAAAATTCAACCTTTAGACCAGGGCATTATTCAGAATTTTAAAAATAATTATCGATGGGAGCTGATTTTGGCGATTGTGTCATGCACGACTTCAGGCATTTCCGAACTCCTGAAACAGTTAAACATGAAGGAAATTATTCATTTAGTTAAAAAAGCTTGGGACAGAGTAAAACTAAAGTCCATTGAAAATTGCTGGATGAAGGCTCTCAGTGATGTTTTTTCTGTCAAAGACGGCTCAGACTCGGAAAACTCCAGCAGTGGCACTGATTCAGAGCCAGACTTTGAAGGATTTTCGGAAAGACGTCCTACAAACAGGCATGCAGACAAAGGAGGATAAAGGTAAACTTCTCTTTCAAATGATAAAAGATTTTAGTTTGGATACGTCACCGGAAATCATTACCGAGTGGCTGGAGATGGGTGAAGATTGCCCAACTTCAGAATTTCTGTCCGAGGAAGAAATATTAATGGGCTCATGCGAGGCTACATTAGACCACAAAGGCGATGGCGAGAATTCTAATAATGCAGGCCTAAATGACAATGACGATGAGAATGTTGTTGAAAAGGTCAAAATTTTGCCCACAGAAGCCCTTAGTGCTGTAGAAACTTTTGTAAGATTTATGGAGGAGCAAAATGTGGAAAATATCGAAATCATTCATCAGCGGCGAATGACAAACTTCATAAGAAAAAAAATGTGAGCATGAAAGAGCAGAAAATAATGGCTTTTCCTTGTTGTTTTTTTTCTAAGTGAATCATAGACCCTTTTTTACAGCATGGCCCTCTTAACCCACGGTCCGTTAACACGTGGTCATGACAGCTTGACTCCCAACATCCGCGCATAAACAGATCTGTACTGTAGCATGTTAGTGAGCAGCAGGTGGAGAACAATAGTACAGCTCTACAACAGCGACAATGAGCATAAGCTTCTAAACAACAGTCCACTGGAAAGGAAAGAAACCTTATTCTACCCAGGGGCGGCTCTATGTATTTTGCCGTCCCAAGCACGGCAGTCAGGCAGCCTTCGGCGGCATGCCTGTGGGAGGTCCGCTGGTAACGCGGATTCGGTGGCATGCCTGCAGTAGGTCCGCCGGTCCTGTGCCTTCGGCGTACCTGCCGCCGAAACCGCGGGACCAGCAGACCTCCCACAGGCATGCTGCCCTCACGGCTTGCTGCCCCAGGCACGCGCTTGCTGCGCTGGTGCCTGGAGCTGCCCCTGATTCTACCCTTTTTAAATTGCTGAATTATTTCTCTCTGAAAAACATCAGTTGCACATCTGGTGTCAATACTTCGCATGCTGATTTATGATATATACAAACAGACAAAACTAAACCCCAAAGACCTGTGAACCTGATACTATCCCTTCATTAATAGTCCTTCCACTGACATTGGTTTTGTTCTGCTGATACTATATCAGGTGCAAAGGAAGTGCAGACGGTCCATAATATTAATAGAAGTGTTGGAATGTTAACTGTGTCACAGACATTCTACTATTCTGCTCCCTTTGCCTGAACAATTCACAGCCCTACCAGCTTATTCCCACCCTCCCCTTGACTTTATGAGCTATTCTCACCCAATCAGGGAAAAGAAACAATGCCATGTGACTTGTGTACCAATTATAACTAAACAAAACAACTCAGATTTCAAATACCTATAGTGAACAGTACATGTCTGATCCCCAGAGTAAAGATGCTGGCAAAAAAAAAGGAGAGGAAGTTGCAATCTGCTCATGGGTGTTACACAAACAGGGTAAATGATTCTATTCAGGTTCTTATCCTGAGCTGCTCACCATATGTCTTTCCATGGTATTATTCAGTGTAACTTCTTTGCTCAGCTCTAATACGTACATAGCCTACAGAGAGCTAAGTAGTAAGAAATCTAGTTCTTGAGAACAGGTTCCTCAAGAAAGAGCCTAGAACTAGCCCTTAGCACTAGGGTTGTATTGCTGCAGTGTTCATAGGACTCTGTTGCTGCACAGAAGTAGCTACATCAGGGGCCCCCTACACCCTCAAGATTCACTTACACAGATTTCATCAAACTTCCCAAAGTCCAGGGTGCCATATCTGTCGATGGGCGGCCGAATGTATTCACAATATTCACTGTTCTTGACCATCTCCAGCTGCCGCACGCAGCACACATACGCAAGCCGGGTCTGGATCTCTGCCATGTTCAGCACCTGCCAATCAGCCCCAGATAGCCATCAAATGCATTGCAAGACTTTCATTAGCACCACTTGCCCTGAACTGGCAACGGTAAAAGGGAGAAATGCACTCCAGTGACTCAGGTGTATCTGCAGAGGCTTTCACATCCCACCTCCCTCAGCCTCCTAGGAGCACACTGCTGACCGCCAGCCAATCTGTCACCAATGGCAGAGACTCAGCTTCCATCTAACATATGAGACCTTTCTGCAATTCAAGCAGAAGTTGGTCGTTAATTCCAGGAAATACTGGCACCTAGAAGGAGATCTATAGCGTGACGCAGGAGGGGCGCAAAGTTCTCTTAGGGTGGGGATGAGTAACGAGCCAGCTTGATTTTCTAGTGCCAGACACTGCTTTAGGTGACAGCTGGGTTTGTTTCGCTGTCATAGCCCCTCATTCCTTGGGACAGAGAACATCCCAGTGTGCTATGGAGGCAGCATGTTCAACCCCACCCTGCATCACTCACAACAGATACCCACTGGGGGAGTCCAGTATTATTGAGCTCTGAAAAGGAATCCTGTCCAGTCCTCAGCCCAGGCCTTTTCGAGGAGAGGGACTGCTAAAGAGGGAGACCCTAAGGATTACAGCAGGGACACAGGGAACCAGAAGGAAAATGGAGGAAATGAAACATTAATTCGAGCTGATCTGACTTCACCCAGGAAGAAAATCCATAGCTCATGCAGCCGGTCATGAAAACAAACATCTAAGAATTTATTATTTCTACCCAATGCAAAAATCCCTATGTTCAGCAGCAAAGAAACATAGCGAAGTGGATAAAGCTCCACTCACTTTCATTTCTAAAGCAGCCAAATCCTAACTGCGTCAAGATTAGTTGTGCCAAATTCACTCCAATTGGAGAGGGGCTCTTTCACCCCTATCAAAGCCAGGTCACCGGCTCTTCGCTATATTCAGGGAGCAGTTTGGGAAAAGGTATCTGAGCTTGTACAGCACCTAGCACAATGAGGTCCTGGTCCATTTCCAGGGTTCCTAGGTGCCTCCACAATACAAATAACGAATAATAATAATATTGTAATTCTGTAGTCCCCCACTCAGCCCCCAGAGGAATTTGCTCTTGCGTGGAGAGCTGGAGTTGGACTCCTTAGAGGAACAAATGATTGGTATTTGGCTGTGTGAGTGCCACTCCTAGCTCCTCCCCAGATTCAGACAACTGAATTCTCCCATAACATTGTATTTTCTTTTATGCTGGGACCTTGCCCAGCTTTCCCACACCCCAAATGTCATCTTGCAACCCAAGATGCAGGTGACCGAGCAATCGATTCCCAGTCTTGTTTCTCAGATACACAGTGAGATAGTTCCCTTCTGCTTACTGAAAAATCACTGCGATTTTAACATAAGCTTACAGTACCTTCACTTTTTCAACGAGGGGATTCCATCTCTTCCACAGCAACCACCAGCCAGACAGAGCGTCGCCGTAGTTGGTGAGGTCCGTCTCATCCCGGCTGCCCACATCAATTGCTATCACCACTTTTGCCCCCATGGATCTTGCAACATCCGCTATTGGGAACAAAGCCACATCATCATTACTCATCACTCCTCTCTTCTACAACACTTACCTTTCTGGAGCTGGCCAATGGAAGCAGGGAAATGGATTTCCAAGGATCACGACAGACCACGCAAGCACAGCATGGGACAGTACAACAGGATTCCTTTTCATACAGCTTCCAGCACAGACATTTATGAATGCTTTTCAGGGAGAATTACTTACCTCAGAATAATGCTATACTAATTATACTCTTCATAGTGATGTATAGTACCTGGGTATAACTATCTCTTTATAATCCCTATTTATTCTAATAATTTTCTTTCAGAAACCAACACAAATGTTGATCATTAAAAGAAAGGCCTGTGGGATCATCCTTATCATGGCAAATCCCAAAGGGACATGTCCTTCTTGCAGATCAAGCACCACCCAGATTAATCTCTGGCTAGGTACTTAAGGTGGCCTAGCTGTATATTCAGTTTAGGTCCATCACAGGCAATCTTATTGCACCACCAAAGCTTCTTGCACCCACATGATCACTAGCTGCATAGTTGCCTTGCTTGATACTTGAATGAAGCAGCACAAATGCAAGAGGATACAGAAGAGGTCAAGGCAGAATGACCAGCTGGGGAGAGAAATTGACATAGGTCAGAGGTTGGGAGAATATCAGTCCATGAAGAGCTTTGAAAGTAAGGAGGAAAATTTTGCTTAGATTTAGAAATGGACAGATTAGTGATGGTGACGGGATGGAGGAGCATTTCCCACTTCCTGAAGGCCATGACATTCAGGAGCCTGACAGTTTAAGGAGTAGGAATTTAGGAAGGTGCTTGTCAAGGCTGCTTCCCCACTTTGAACTTTAGGGTACAAATGTGGGGGTCTGCATGAAAACTTCTAAACTTAACTACCAGCTTAGATCTGGTCCGCTGCCACCACTCCCAAAGCTAATTCCCTTCCCTGGGTAGCCTTGAGAGATTCTTCACCAATTCCCTGGTGAATACAGATCCAAACCCCTTGGATCTTAAAACAAGGAGAAATTAACCATCCCCCCTCCTTCCTCCCACCAACTCCTGGTGGATCAAGATCCAACCCCCTTGGATCTAAAAACAAGGAAAAATCAAGCAGGTTCTTAAAAAGAAGGCTTTTAATTAAAGAAAAAGGTAAAAATCATCTCTGTAAAATCAGGATGGAAAATAACTTTACAGGGTAATCAAACTTAAAGAGCCCAGAGGACCCCCCTCTAGCCTTAGGTTCAAAATTACAGCAAACAGAGATAAACACTCTAGCAAAAAGGTACATTTACAAGTTGAGAAAACAAAGATAAAAACTAACACGCCTTGCCTGGCTGTTTACTTACAAGTTGGAAATATGAGAGACTTGTTCAGAAAGATTTGGAGAACCTGGATTGATGTCTGGTCCCTCTCAGTCCCAAGAGCGAACAACCCCCCCAAAAAAGAGCACAAACAAAAGCCTTCCCCCCACCAAGATTTGAAAGTATCTTGTCCCCTTATTGGTCCTTTGGGTCAGATGTCAGCCAGGTTACCTGAGCTTCTTAACCCTTTACAGGTAAAAGGATTTTGGAGTCTCTGGCCAGGACGGATTTTATAGTATTGTACACAGGAGGGCTGTTACCCTTCCCTTTATAGTTATGACAATGCTAAAAGAGGGATTTGGGGTGCTGAGCAACTCACAGAAAAGAGAAATGTGGGGAGGAGAAAAAGTGCAAGATCCAGGATAACTATGGATAGTAATTCCAGAATTTCTATGGATAGTAATTCTGTGCTTGAATAATAAGAATATAGCAGTAGGGACATACTACCAACCACCTGACCAGGATGGTGATAGTGACTGTGAAATACTCAGGGAGATTAGAGAGGCTATAAAAATAAAAAACTCAATAATAATGGGGGATTTCAACTATCCCCATATTGACAGTGTACATGTCACCTCAGGATGGGATGCAGAGAGAAAGTTTCTTGACACCTTAAATGACTCTTTCTTGAAGCAGCTAGTGCTGGAACCCACCAGAGGAGAGGCAATTCTTGATTTAGTCCTAAATGGAGCACAGGACCTGGTCCAAGGGGTGAATATAGCCGGACCGCTTGGTAATAGGGACCATAATTAATTAATTTAACATCCCTGTGGTGGGGAAAACTCCACCTCAGCCCAACATGGTAGCATTTAACTTCAGAAAAGGGAACTACACAAAAATGAGGAAGTTAGTTAAACAGAAATTAAAAGGTACAATGCCAAAAGTGAAATACCTGCAAGCTGCATGGAAACCTTTTAAAGACACCATAATAGAGGCTCAACTTAAATGTATACACCAAATTAAAAAACATAGCAAGAGGACCAAAACAGTGCCACTGTGGTTAAACAAGAAAATAAAAGCAGCAGTGAGAGGCAAAAAGGCATCCTTTAAAAAATGGAAGTTAAATCCTATTGAAGAAAATAGAAAGGAGCATAAACTCTGACAAATGAAGTATAAAAATATAATTAGGAAGGCCAAAAAAGAAGTTGAAGAACAGTTAGCCAAAGACTCAAAAAGTAATAGCAAACATTTTTTCAAGTACATCAGAAGCAGGAAGCCTGCTAAACAACCAGTGGGGCCACTGGATGATCAAGATGCTAAAGGAGAACGATAAGGCCATTGCGGAGAAACTAAATTAATTCTTTGCATCGGTCTTCACGGCTGAAGATGTGAGGGAGATTCCCAAACCTGAACCATTCTTTCTAGGTGACAATTCTGAGGAACTATCCCAGATTGAGGTGTCATTAGAGGAGGTTTTGGAACAAATTGATAAACTAAACAGTAATAAGTCACCAGGACCAGATAATATTCACCCAGGAGTTTTGAGGGAACTCAAATGTGAAATTGCAGAACTGCTAACTGTGGTATGTAACTTATCATTTAAATCAGCTTCTGTACCAGATGACTGAGGACAGCTAATGTGACGCCAATTTTTAAAAAACTCTCCAGAGGTGATCCCGGAAATTACGGGCTGGTAAGCCTAACTTCAGTACCGGGCAAATTGGTTGAAACTATAGTAAAGAACAGAATTGTCAGACACATAGATGAACATGATTTGTTGGGGAAGAGTCAACATCATTTTTGTAAAGGGAAATCATGCCTCACCAATCTACTAGAATTCTTTGAGGGGGTCAACAAGTATGTGGACAAGGGGAATCCAATAAATATAGTGTACTTAGATTTTTCAGAAAGCCTTTGACAAGGTCTCTTACCAAAGGCTCTTAAGGAAAGTAAGCTGTCATGGGATAAGAGTGAAGGTCCTCAAATGGATCAGTAACTGGTTAAAAGGTAGGAATAAACGGTCAGTTCTCAGAATGGAGAGAGGTAAACATTGGTGTTCCCCAGGTGTCTGTACTGGGACCAGTACTATTCAACTATACCATACAGATCACAAATGATCTGGAAAAAGGGGTAAACAGTGAGGTTGCAAAATTTGAAGATGATACAAAATAATTAAGTCCAAGATAATTAAGTCCAAAGCAAACTGAGTTACAAAGGAATCTTGCAAAACTGGGTGACTAGGCAATAAAATGGCAGATGAAATTCAATGTTAATAAATGCAAAGTGATGCATATTGAATAGCATAATCCCAACTATACATATAAAATGATGTAGTCTAAATTAGCTGTTACCACTCAAGAAACATCTTGGAGTCACTGTGGATAGTTCTCTGAAAACATCCACTCAATGTGCAGTGGCAGTCAAAAAACCAAACAGAATGTTGGGAATCATTAAGAAAGGGATAGATAATAAGACCGAAAATATCATATTGCCTCTATATAAGTCCATGGTACGCCCACATCTTGAATACTGCATGCAGATGTAGTCGCCCCATTTCAAAAAAGATATATCGGAATTGGAAAAGGTTCAGAAAAGGGCAACAAAAATGATTAGGGGTATGGAATAACTTTCGTATGAGGAGAGATTAATAAAACTGGGACTTTTCAGCTTGGAAAAGAGATGACTAGGGGGTGATATGATAGAGGGCTATAAAATCATGACTGGTGTGGAGAAAGAATATAAGGAAGTGTTATTTACTCCTTCTCATAACACAAGAACTAGGGGTCACCAAATGAAATTACTAGGCAGCAGGTTTAAAACAAACAAAAGGAAGTATTTCTTCACACACAAAAAGTCAACTTGTGGAACTCTTTGCCAGAGGATGTTGTGAAGGCCAAGACTCTATCAGGATTCAAAAAAGAACTAGATAAGTTCATGGAGGATAGGTCCATCAATGGCTATTAGTTAGGATGGGCAGGGATGGTGTCCCTAGCCTGTTTGCCAGAAGCTGGGAATGAGTGATAGGGGATTATCACTTGATTACTTATTCTGTTCATTCCCTCTGGGGCACCAGCCATTGGACACTGTCGGAAGAAAGGATACTGGGCTAGATGGACCTTTGGTCTGACCCAGTATGGCCGTTCTTATGTTCTTATAACTGACGTTCTCAGAACGGCTATGCACTGTGACAGTCACAACTCTGTAGGGCCAGTTCAGAGGCTAATTCAAACCAGAACCGAACTCTCACTAGGTCTATGTGACTGCACAATCCAGTCCATCATCCATTCTTGAGCCAATCCTCAACATCATCTTCAGACACTGTGCACTCTCAGAATGTACAGATGGATAGCGGGGACCGGTGGAAAGATAGCTAGATTAGGAATTCATATTTGTAGAGAGAGACCCAAGCTGCAAATAGCAAATACAGTTTTCAAATTTGTGGGAGCATTTGTAGTTCTGCCCTTTAGGGAGATAAGGGCCTTTTGCAAAATTTGGATCTGGGTTTGAAGTTTTAACACCGCCCCCCTCCTCCACCCTCCCAGATTGGGCTGCTCCGATTCCAGGCCTTTTACTCAGACTGCTCTCTAATTATTTGCACACAGCTCATGGAAAATGTGCTACGAAAACAAATTTTCAAAGCACTGGATATTATGACAAAAACTCTGACCTCCTCTCTTCCATAAACATTTGACAACACAATTAAAAACACACACACTGTTTAACACGCCTGGCTTCGTTTGGTGTTAAAATGTACAGCTGGCTAATGAGAAAAACATTTTAATAGATTGATTTTGAGATTGATTATCATTGATTTTAATGTTTCATTGAATTTAATGTTATGTGAATTCTCCTGTTAAGAATGGTTTCAGAGTAGCAGCTGTGTTAGTCTGTATCCGCAAAAAGAACAGGAGTACTTGTGGCACCTTAGAGACTAATAAATTTGTTAGTCTCTAAGGTGCCACAAGTACTCCTGTTCTTTTTCCTCTTAAGAATGATATTGCTTTGAATCTTAGACACTAAGAGCAGTTAATATTTCACCATTGTTGCATATTTAGAAATCAGTTCATATTTATGCTCTGTTCTTCCAACAGATTCAAGAAAAAATACAACCATATGTTTATAGTTTTATTCCTTCGCTCCTCCCCAACCCTTTTTTAAAAATACACATGAGAATATGTTCTAATAATTAGCTTGACATTATATTTTTGGCACATGATTTGAAAGGAAACATTCCATCCCAAGAGGCCATCTTGGAAAAGCCTGTATAACAACAGGCTTTGAGCCCATTTGGGGGGAGGGATAGCTCAGTGGTTTAAGCATTGGCCTGCTAAACCCAGGATTGAGAGTTCAATCCTTGAGGGGGCCATTTGGGGATTGGTCCTGCTTTGAGCAGGGGGTTGGACTAGATGACCTCCTGAGGTCCCTTTCAACCCTAAGGATCTATGAACAAAGCAAAGGCCTTGTATCCAGATGACAATGCAGCTCTGCTAGCCTCCAAGAGATCAGAATGGAGTTGTTCGGGAAGGTAATCACACTGACATATGCCTGTGCAGATGGAGTTTTACCATCTGTCTTCTTGGTGAATTCCAAACAACTATCTACAAACATACCTGGAAGATTGTTGATATAACCTCCATCCATCAAGAGATGTCCATCCTTTGGATCACAGAGAGGGGGCATGTACCCAGACAGTGACATGCTGGCACGGACATACCTCCAAAGGGAACCTACAGCAATGAGAGGGAAGACATCCATACTAACCCAGTATAGCAGGAATGGGCGGGGGCAGCTTTCAGAATCATTACATGTAATTTTGTGACAGATAATATACCGAGGGTTGGATTGCAGAATGCTATTAAAGCACCTGAATGACTCCCAAATTATAATGCAGGCTAGGAAAAGGGTTACTCAGTCTCCAACTCAGCAAAGCACTTAAGCACACACTTAACTTTAACCATGATCTTAAGCACTTTCCTGTATCACAGCCTCCACCACCACAAAAGAACAAGGTTTCTTCTGCGAACAAATGATGGGGAGGAATCACTAGCCTCAACTGTGCTGAAGGCCATTAGCCCCCAGGAAATGCCACATGCAGCAGAGCTGAACACATGGAATATGTCAAGTATCAGGGGGTAGCCGTGTTAGTCTGTATCTACAAAAACAACAAGGAGTCTGGTGGCACCTTAAAGACTAACAGATTTATTTGGGCATAAGCTTTCGTGAGTAAAAACCTCACTTCATTTGACTCCCTCCCCTCCCCCCAAGTTTTACCCATGCTTAGATTTTTAACAGGACAGCAGAGACATCACTATAAAGATGTGGGATTCACCCCCTACACCCTTTTTGCTTAAGCAATGTTTCGACTTACAACGCAATTCTGAGGAATGAATTGTGTCGGAAGTCCAAGGACTCCCTGTATCTCTAGCTTCCAGCCCTTCTAGCAACTCACTTCCCACTCATCTTCTATACGCCAAAGTTATCTGCCTTGCTTGCTGTTTAACCCTTCATTTTCCATGCAGCCTGCTCCAGTTTCTGAACAGCTCAGTCCAGCTCTGCCAAACAGCATCAAGGAGGCCCACCACCCAGCATGCTGCTAGCTGGCTGGAGGAGCACACCAGGGTCCTAGTTAACCTCTAGTGTAGATACACCAGGGATCATTATTCCAGCTGGAGCTTCAGAAATAGCCCCTTCTATGAGGCCATTTTGAAGAGACTGGTGGAGGTGGGCACCCACCAGACTGGTGAGCAGTGCAGGAAGTGCATCAAGCACCTGAAGCAGCTGTACTACAAGGTGAAGGATGCAAATGGCAGGTTTGATAGGCAATGTACCGTCTACATGCCCCTGCTATGAGGAGCCAGACTGGCTGCTTGCCCCACCCTGAGCACTGAGCCCACCGTCCTCCATGACATAATATTGACCAGGGGCGATCTCACGTGTGATCCAGCCTGAATGCAAAGCAGGGAAAATTAAATTTAAACACACAAGTAGTGACTCTTTCAAACTACCTTTATAATTATTCCTTGCAAAACAATTAAAAGAGTACAGGCTTTGCAAGCATGAGCGCAAATCTTTGCAAATTCTGCTCAATAACACCTCTGTCACATCAATGTAATGATATAGATTTATACCTTGACTAGCAGAGCACTGTCCCAAACACCATGGCTTATAAGTCCCTTGGGCTGCACCAAGTGGTAAAGTCCCTTTTGGACCTCAGTGCAGGTCCTTTTTGCTCTGGCTATTCACAGAAAGCTGTCTGGGATGGGATGCGGGAAAGTGGGGAGAATCCACTCTGCTGCTAGCAATCCTCTGCTTCCTAGTTTGGCATCCTGTTGTTCACCTGAATTTTCCTTCACTACCTGCAGGTGATGCTTGAAAATGTTTCCTGCAGCAGAAACTCTAGTCTATCAGTCAGATACCTGGACAGGGCAAACTTGCTATGGCTGTCCAGAATTTACTAAACCTCTCCACTTGTTCAATCAGCAGATACCAAAACATCTCCTTTGCCTACCACCAACATCCCACCACAGGTCTGGGAAACAGGTTCTCTTTTCCATTCTGGAACCTCCAGAAGATTTGTATCTTCTGGCCTGCAACAATGTTACAACTAACACTGGTAACTCTGCTCTTGCTAGGACTTCACACCTCACCCTCTCTCAGCCAAGCCCAAATTTTTAAAACCTGGTTAATGAAATGCTCATCTAATTCTTACCAGAATGTGTCTGTGGACTGCCAACATTAGCTGTAATAAAAGCATTCCAAAGTGATAAAACTGTAGCCTGGTATTGATGCAGAACATATAGGGAGGGACTCTTTCCTTTTTTAACCATGACCAAAAAAATGCTCTTTCACTGCCTTGGCAAGCACTTCCACCTCAGATGGACCGAGCCTCCCAGCCAGGACTCTGGTGGATAGGACTGTCCATCAGTAGGCTGTGATGAATGTGGAAATTCTGATAATATATTTTTTATTCCTCTGCATGCCTCAGTTTCCCCTGGGCTTTGCACTGTTATGCACTGAGTGTAAAGGGAAGGCAAAAGGTGGTTGACTCACACAGCAACCTGGTTGGAGACCAGAGACATTAACAAACTCAAAGTCTGCACATGTGACTGGAGGATCCAGATGAGACAATGGAAATCCCACTGGCTGGGACAGTCACACCTAGCAATAACAGCCAAGAGGAGGGAGATTCCCTTCCCACCACACCTCTCTGCAGAGAAGCAGAGAAAAGGCCCCAAGCTAGAGAACAAAGTGGAAAGGTTCTGTGGCTGAGATAAGTAGGGATCCTATTTTTCTGTGATAAAAAAAAAACCTCCAATAAAAAAACATAAAAATCTGTGTTTTCCCACGATTAAAATGAAACGCTGAACTTTAGTTTCCTTGGCCACAATATATATAGGTATCAGTTGAACACAATGTTTTATTGATATATTTACAATTTTTAAGAAAGTTCAAAGACTACTAGAGCCTTCAATCATTATAATAAAATAAAATTAATAGAATTGCAATTTGTATTTCTTACATATACCAAATACTTCTATGTCTGTATTCTACATTTTCAGAAAATTGTTTTTTTAATGCACAAAAAATTAAGCGAAAATTGCTTTTATATTAACATTACTCACTGTCTGAATTAGTCTGGGAGGCTGAAGTGAAATTTGAGATGCACTAAAACATGAACACCTA